CACACAGCCATGTGGGCACAGGGGGTTGGCTGGGGACCCCCACGCCTCACACAGCCACGCGGGCACAGGGGGTCAGCTGGGGACCCCCACCCACATAGCCACACGGGTGCATGGGGCCGGCTGGGGACCCCCGCCCACACAGCCACGCGGGGCGCACGGGGCCGGCTGGAGACCCCCGCCCACACAGCCAGGGATGCACAGGCGTGCTGAAGATCACGGGTTGGCGTGAGTGCGCACAGCCAGCCACGCCCCCAGGGACGCCTGGGCCTGGGCCTGGGTGAACAGTGAAGCGTGCCGGGCGGGCGCAGGGGGTGCACCTTCCACGGGGGGAACCAACGCACCTTCTCTCCGGGCTGGCCTGCCAGACCTGGCTCCCCAACTTCGCCCTGGAGACAGAACAAAAGACACCCCGTTATCTTGCCAGCGCACGCCTGCAGGGTACCCCGCACCACTCAGGCTGCATCCGAGGCACCGCAATGGTTTCTGGACGGCGAAGCGCACTGCAGAGGGACGCGAACGCTGGCTCTTAGGTATGAAGGCCCACGGGGCGTTACGCCCCCAAGGGCGGCGGGGGTCCCGAGTCTGCCGGCAGGGAAAGGGGAGCCCGGCCGGGGCAGGGGGAGCGCTCTCTCCACAGCAGCAGGCGCGGGGGTGTGCTGAGAACTCTTTAGTCTCCAGGTGGCCCCTGAAGGAGGGCGTGAGGCGGGGCAGCGGGCCTCTGCCCCTGTCCAGCCGCAAGGGTGTCCTGGTCATTTTGAGGGGCCTTAGCCCAGGTCCCTGGGGGGAGGGAAGGAAGAATGGAGGGAGGCGAGGGACAGGCAGGAGGAGGAGAGAGCTGGGGGAGGGGGAGAGGAGGAGGACGGTACGGCCCTCGCCCGCCCTGCCTTTGGGAGAGCCACACAGTGACCGCAGTGACCGCTAGGCCACGGCTCCCGGGGAGCCCCCCCACCCGATCCGGCTTGCAGGCCCCCCTGCCCCTACCAGTCAAAACCCCGCACTTCTGCCTGGGCTTCCAGACCACGCTGGAGCGGCCCCGTTTGCAGCCACCTGGCACGGACCTCGCCGCATCCCTGGGCTGCCCCAGCCCAGCAGCCGCAGGGCGAGGGCAGGCCGGCGCGGGCACGTACCCGAGGGCCAGGCGTCCCCGGCAGGCCGTCGTCCCCTCTGTCTCCGGACTCTCCCTGGAAGAACGGGCAGGCGGTGAGGGCAGTGGCCCGGGCAGCAGGGACGGGGCAGCGGGCTGCGGCTCGCAGGGCGCCCACGGCCTCCGGCCCCTCGTGCCCCGCTGACTGGGCCCCGGGCTCCTGCGCGGCCCTCAGGGTGCAGGGACGGGCCAGGGGAGCGCCCAGGCTGCCCTGGGCCTGGCCTGGGAGAGCCAACGGGACCGAGGGAGAAAATTCTCAGGATGCAAGAAGCTCGCGGGAGGCCTTTCTCGCTCCGTGTGGAGGGGGCGTTCCTAGGTCTGCTTGTCGGGAAGGATGCGGGACCTTCTGCCGGTGCCTGCGGGCGGTTGCCCCGCTGCCCCCGCCGGGCTGAGCGGGCTGAGCCGGGCTGACCCACGGCCGCGGCAATGGACCATCCCGGGGAGCCCGCCCACTGGCCGAGCCTGCCCACCGCACCTGGCCAGGTATTTACCAGCCCCCAGCTCTAATGTCCCTCTTATAAGGGAAACACTGTGTTCACCTGCTCACGTCTTGTTGAGTTGCCAGTGGCTGACACGTGTGTCCGGGGAGCAAAGCCTCACCCCTCCATCCGTCACCCCGCCCGCCGTCCCCCGGAGCCCCCCGCTGCCCAGCGCCCGAGGGAGCCTGTTCTCAGTGACGTCAGGAAGCGCGTGCGTGGTGAGTGTCCGCAGCGGTCACCTCACACACAGTAAACGCGCGTTCAAAGAGGCGCGTGAACCCAGCCCCGAGCTGCCCCCGCCGGCCGCAGCCCCACAGTGAGCGCCTTGGCGGGCGCCGCGGTTTGAACTCCCCCGCGCCCGCCGGCCCCCGCTCGCGCGCCCTGAACACCCACCTTGGGTCCTGGTAGGCCCGGCGGTCCGAGCGGCCCGTCCTTTCCCGGAGACCCCTGGCCGAGAGGGGGACAGTGACACACGAGGGCAGGTCGGGGAGCCACAGTTCAGTCGGGGGCTGATTCTGCAGCCAGGCTGGGGCCCCCTTCTTATCAGAGGTGCTCACGGCCTCTGTGGGGGCCAGGCCCGCCTTGCACGCCCCCTCCCGCCCCCGAGATGGGGACGCGTGCCCCTCTGACCCGCCGCCCCCAGTGGGCTGGACGTGCGTGTGGGCGAGCAGCCTGGTTCTGGAGCTCGGCTTCTAGCCCCAGCTTTCCGGGCAGGAGGCGGCCAGGCGGGGCGGCCAGGCCGGGCAGGCCTCGGGCTGCGCCTCTGGGCCCCACGGACCCCGCCTCGCAGGCCTGCCTTCTCTGCCCTCCTCGGAGTCGGAGGGTCAGGGCCACCCCTGCTGCCCTGCAGGGCCGAGGCCAAGAGGCCAGGAGACCACTCGCCAGTCGGGTGTTTGCTGAGCACAGACCCTGGAAGCCATGACACGCTCCGGGCCCCGGGCACCTTGGCCTGAGGCCCGTGGCCCTGTCCTGGGCGTGGGGCAGCCCCGACCCCTCTTCGCACGTGTCCCTCACGGACAAACACCAGCAACTTTGACTTTCTGTCTGGGTAAGGAGAGGGAGGCGGGTGGACAGAGGGCACCCGGCCCGGTGCACCCCAGCCGCAGTCCTGGGCCATGCCGGGAGGCGGGCCAGAGGGCAGCTGGCAGGCTGGAGAGAGGCGCAGAGCCCTGCAGAAGGCCGCCTGATGGCGGGAGGGGCGTGGCGGGGAGGGGGAGAAGGGGGTGGAGCCGAGAGCCACTCACCGCCTGCCCCGGGTGCCCGGGTTTTCCTGGGAAGCCGATCTCTCCTGGCAAACCCTGCAAAGAGAACCGCAGGGCACGGTTAGTCTGGCCTCCTGGGCGTCGGCCCTTCGCCCCTGGCTGGGCCGGGGCCTCCGGCACCACAAGGAACCCGGTCGGCACCGGGGAGCCGACGCGTCCTGGCGCCGGCCTGGTCCGCAGTGGGCCACCTCCCCCCACCCCCAGGCCTCCTCCTCCACCCACGCTGGCGGCCTCCCCAGCAGGGACCCTGGGGCCACCGCCCTCTGCTCCAGCAAGGGTGCCCACGGCACCGAAGTTGGGCACAGGAAACGTAGACGCACCCCCGCCCGCCTGCTGCGCCCCTCACAGCCAGGCCACGCAGAGGCTCGAGGCCCCCGCCGCGGGCAGCCACCCACCGTGAGGGGCCAGGGCCAGCCCAGCCAGTGCCCTGCTGACACGCCGCACTGTCCAGAGCGGGACAACCCTCGATGCCCCCGCTCTAGGCCCCTGCAAGCGAGTCCACGCCAGTCTTACCGGGGGGCCTCCGGGTCCAGGGGGGCCTGGAGGACCCTGCAAAGGAACAGGTGAGGGGTCACGACACCACAGCCCCTCAAGACGCTGCCCTCGGAGAGAGGGAGGGGATGGGCCACGCCATGGCGGTGTGTGTCGCCATCTCGTTAAGCAGAAAGCACAAAAGCAGAAATGAAAGATGGTCCGTGAAACTGTAAAAGATGTCAGGGGCGAGCAGAAGGGCAGGCTGTGGGCTGCTCCAGGGGGCGCGGCGTGGCGCGTGCAGGCCCAGGGCCGCCAAGACGGGAACCCGGAGCACGGCCCAGCTGCGGCCAGCGGGAGCCTCCTGGGGTGATGGCGGCGGGGCGCTGCAGGTCTGGGGTGGGCTGAGGAAAACACTTCACAGAGTTCTGCAGACAACTCTCCGGAGAGCAAACGCCCCTCGGCCCCCATACGGAAGGAACTTTGCGGTTTCGGGAGCACAGGTCCGTAAATGAGCCTCTGTGTGCCAGGTCCCACCTCTCACCCCACCGTCAAGCTCCTTACCTGATTTTCCATCCCCTCCTCCCTCCCTCCCTCCCTCCCAGTAACCTCTATTTTGTTCCTTGAGCCTCACGGTTTGTTTTATTTCTCCTTCACTCCTATCCACCCCGTACGAGTGAAATCATAGCCTGTGGCTCTGGCTGGCTTATCTCACTAAGCTTTGTCCCCGCTGGGCCCATCCAAGTTGTTGTGAACAGCAGAGACACAACTTCATTTTTCATGACCGAGTAGTATTCCATCGGGAACCCATGCCACAGACCAATCCAGTCACCCCGGAACAGCACTTGAATGGTTTCCACGTCTTGGGATTGTGAATAATACTGTGATGGATGTGTGGGCACGAATATTTCTCCAAACTACTGCTGTTTTTGGCATTCTCTGGAGAAACGTGCCGCAGTGGGATAACGCGGTTGCATAAAGCATCCATTTGCAGTTTCTGGGGTCCCCATGCTGCTCGCCACAGCAGTGGCACCAGGCCGGTCCCAGCGGTGCGAGCCGGCCCCCTTCCTCCCGCCCTGGCCAGCGCTTGTTTGTTATCGCTGGATGAGTAAGTCGTGCCCACCACATTCAGACCCAGATCCGTTCGCCACTTCAATCGTTCCCTCCTGATGCCCAGCGCCCCAGCGCCCAGGAGGCAGGCGCTGCCCCGCAGCGTGCCCGGTATTGACTGCTGTGCAGAGGGAGCGCAGGGCCGACGGTCCTGTCAGAGCGGCCAGGGCTCAGGGCAGCCGCCAGCACGGCCCAGGAGGGGCGGGAGCCTGCAGGGAGCGAGCGGGGAGGCTCGAGCGGCGCCCGTGAGGAAGAGGCCGGGAGAAACAGGCGGCAGGCAGAGGCGGGGCGGGGCCGCACGGCGG